TTTTTTTTTGTTGTAGTTGTCATTGTTGTTTTTAGCAGGCCCCAGGCTGGGTTCGAACCCACCAGCCCTGTGTATGTGGCCAGTGTCCCGACCACTGAGCTACTGGTGCCAAGGCTAAGATGTGATTCTTTTTAAAATTTGTTTTGGAGACAAATTTGTTTTGTTGCCCTCAGTAGAGTGCTATAGCATCACAGCCCAAGGCAACCTCAAACTCCTGGGCTCAAGTGATTCTCTTGTCTCAGCCTCCCAAAGAGCTATGACTACAGGCCCCTGCCACAACAATGCCTGGCTATTTTATTTTTATTTTTTTGCAGTTTTTGGCCGGGGCTGGGTTTGAACCCGCAACCTCCAGTATATGGGGCTGGCGCCCTACTCCTTTGAGTCACAGGTACCTCCCTCTTTTTTTTTAGAGAGTAAGAATTAGGGAATCTCCAAGGACTTTGGCGGAGGGAGTAATGGACTTCCCTTTCTAACGTGCTGACATTAATGGGACTCAACACCCACGCTCAGTGATTCTCAGTTTAGAATTCTAAATTCCTGACAGAATCTCATCAAACCAGTTAATTCTAGTGTTCACCTGAATTTAATAATGGATGCATAGGAGGACAGAATCATATAATACAGATGTGGCTGAAGGGACCCATTCCAGTGTATAATTGGAGGTGGAGGTGGGGAGTAATTCCCAGGAAGGGAGGACTTGTGAGTCTGGCAGGTCCTCAATACATGTTAATTAAATAAAAGCAGTGACATGGGGCTGGGCACAGTGGCTCATGCCTGTAATCTTAGTACTCTGGGAGGCTGAGACACATGGATTGCCTGAGCTCATAAGTTCGAGATGAGCCTGAGCAAGGGCAAGATCCCATCTCTACTAAAAATGAAAAACTGAAGCAAGAAGATTGCTTGAACCCAGGAGTTTGAGGTTGCTGTGAGCCATGATGCCACGGTACTCTACCAAGGGTGACAAAGTGAGATTCTGTCTAAAAAAAAAAAAAAAGCAGTGAAATGAGACAGGGAAGTTCTCCGGGCAAAGCAAACAGTGTGCAGAAAAGCACAGGGCCAGGAGTGCTAAGGCATAATTGAAGATCATTTAATAGAACTGTGGTATGATTAAATTAAAAGGGATCTTGTCTTATGGGTGAGGAAACAAAGTGTCATTTTACAAAAGTTGCTGTGACCTAGAAGGGAAAGTAATTTCTGCACCTAATGAGACTCAGAGTCAAGAGTTAGGAAAGGTGGCTCGGCGCCTATAGCTCAACCGGCTAAGGCGCCAGCCACGTACACCGAAGG